GGCTTGGGCTGGCTGTGGTGGGTTGCGGGCGAAGAACTCTGTTATGCTTTGCTGACGGCTGGTGTTTATGTTGTCGTGATAAACCTTGATGTAGGGCTCCATAGTCTGCAACAGCTGGGTAGTGAAGATTTCATACCTGTTTACGTCAGGGTCGTCGGAAAGGAGGAGCTTGGCTTTCTCGATACACTCGATGGCACCCCTAACATTACTATGGGATAAGCGGCGTTCTTCTTGGGATGACGCACCACCTGCCTCTTCACTGACGTCATCATCATCTACCATGTCATCGGTAGTCACATCAGGATCCCTTATCACCTCCAGGATGTCGTCGTTGGTGGTCTCGGAGAAGCCTGCAGCTGTAACACTCTGCGCAGCTTCTCTGGCAAGGTCTACTGTTACTGCAACAGTCTGATTCTCACCAGTCACAGATTGACTCTGCCTAACGCCCGGAATACCTTGCAACACATGTCTCCATGCGTGACGAACAGTTGCTACAGGCAGCTGATCCCATGCCTTCACCAAGAAATCCACAGCTTTCTTGACGTTGAATATTCTCCAGAATTGTTTTAAAAGTACTTCTTGCTCTGCCAACTGTTGATCCTCGTCGTCTTCGCTCTTGCTATCGGTGTTGGTGTCACTCAGGTTACGCAACTCTTCCCTGGTGTTGGTGTAGTTGTTCAGGAGCTTGAATTTTTTAGTAGAGAATGCAGCTTTTACATTACAGATTAACTCTTTGTCCATGGGCTGTAATATAAACGTAGTGTTGGGAGGAAGGAAGACCACTTTTACGTTGGGGTGACGATCTAACAGTAGGGGCGAGTGTCCTGGTGCGTTGTCCAGCAGCAACAAAATCTTGAATGGCACATTCTGTTGCTCACAGAATTTCTTCACATCGGGAACGAAACAGTCATCAAACCAGGAGAGGGACAGTGTAGAGAACATCCACGCCTTATGTGCGGTCAGCCAGTGGACATTTAGCTTGGTCATGTCCATGCTCTTGCAGGCGTGCGGCTTGCGTGCTGTGTGGATCACCAATAACTTGAGCTTACAGGTACCAGAGGCATTGGTGGTAAACAGGACGGTGATGCGCTCCTTCTGCAACTTCCGGCCCCGACACTTGCTGGCATTCTTCACAACGAAGGTCTTGGAAGGTAGTTTTTTCCAAAAAAGACCAGATTCGTCCATGTTAAACACCTGGTCGTCGGTGTACTGTCCTTCCTCCATAATCTCACATAAAAACGGAGGAAATTCCCTAGCCGCAACACGGTCAGCACTAGCTTCTTCACCACCAATGTTGATATTGGTTATCTTGCTTCTCTTCTTAAACCTCTGTAACCACCCAGAGGAAGCATTAAAGGGTTTGGGCTCTGTAATTCCCATCTTTCGTGACACTGCAGCATACAGTTCACGTGCGTACTCCTTAACTGAGCGCGTGTCCACCGCCATGTTCCGTCTTGCCTGACGCACCAAGTAGCTCACAAGTAATTTTTCTGTCTTGAGAAGCACCTGGTTGTGGCAATACTTGATCATAGAAGCACCTGTAGACTTTGTGATGTTCATGTGCTCCTTTATCTTGGCTGCATCCTTCTTAATTGTCCTGATCGTAGACTCGTTAACACCATGCTGGCGCGCGAGATCAACCTGTCTTGTTCCTTTCTCCAACTCTTGTATGATCTTATACTTAATTTCGTAGCTTAAGGAACGTCGTGTCTTCTTTGGCTTAGGGCGGCTGGGTCCAGGTAAGGAAAGGTTTCTCTATGGGGGCGGTGGTCCGGTGGAAGCCATTTTACAGAACAATGGATTCGCGTATACACGGTGTGGCCTGGAGGGATGAAACTGCCGCGGCTAGGTCAAGCGTCGTCTTTCCTCCCTCCCTCCCACGGGTGGACACGTCATATTACTTTAAACCAATCACAGCTAGCAGCAGAGGGAGGTAAGGATGCATTGCCCAATTACAGTCTGATACGTCATATGACGTCACTGATAGCGCAACAAAGACACACACTGCGCAACCTACTCGGGCCGCTTACACAACATGGCGGATGGCGGGAGAGGGCGGGAGAGATGGCGGGAGGTTTGGATCCATAAATGGCGCGGCTCGCCAGCCGCTCTCCGCGTAAAGGGGTACACGCACCGCGGAAAGTGAGCATTCCGGTTTCGGCAGGGTACCACGTAAACGCGTAAAGTGGGACCGCGTAAAGCGAGGGTTGACTGTATATATATATATATATATTTGCTTTACTATCCTCATAAGATTTTTTGACAAACAACAGGCAAGTAAAACTGAAATTCAACATATTCTAGATTTCCTGAATATGAGATTTGCTTATAGCTTTAATCAAAGGAAATGGCTCATTTGAAGTCAATAGAAAAGTTACAGTATTACTATTCTACCATATCACAGAATTACAGTAGTTTTCCATCCCATTTATCTGGAACAGAGTGTACTAATACAGTAATCTGTTAGATAAACAATATTGTAGACTGACTGTATAAATTTGTAAATTTTCCTGTGTGTTAAGTACTAACAGGTCCCTGTATGTACATGTCAGGGGGGTGCTTATTTCCGAACCCATGAGCCAGGAAGCATCTTTAACCCAGCAACTAAAGCCCAGCAGCGTCAAGCTCAAGCCATCATGGTGGACCGAGGATCACGTTATATATTTCCAATATCTTTCAGTGTACTGAACTGCATCTACTGGATGGCTTTCTGGGCTTATCTGTAAAGATGCTGATTTTCTATTGATTCTCATTATTTGTTGCAGTGAACCTGTAGACAGTGTTTATGAAGGAAAATTACCAGTGTGCTGTATTCAGTCGATTAGAATCAAAATGGAATCGGTTACAGCTGAGTACTTACAATCAGTCTGTACTGTATATGTAATTTTTTAAGTAAAGTGACTCATTTACTTTTCCATAACATTTCAGCTGCCAACCTTCTATTAATTCGACATATTGACAACCAAGATGCTGGAGCTCTAATGAGAATGATGCAGGCAATGAATAAGTGAGATGAAAATTTTTTGGTATCTGTTGGAAGGCTTAGTTTTGTCTTACTTGATGTATGGCTACCAATACAATACAGTTCATGATTTGGACTCAAATTGTTAATGTTTGTTCATGCTAATGATGACTACTACAATGGTGGGGTACAGTAGTATAGCATAAACTCTTCTGAATATAATGACAACTAGCTAAAGAGTTGTTGAGTAATTTTAGACTAGCAAAGGTGAAGCAGCAAAATTATAGTTTATTATTATATTTTGGTTATATGAGTAATCAGTGAAAAATGAGGATGTAAAAGAACTAAATTTAAGACAAGTAGTGGACATATATGAAAGATAGAATGCTCAAAAGGTGATAGATATAAGGGGAAAATGGAAGAAAACAACAGGAAAAAGTTCACATGTGGAAGATGTAGAGGAGCAAAAAGACCAAAAACAAGGTTAGTAAGGCATGTACAGTAGTACCCCACGCGGTCAATTGAACCCACAGGGTACCGCGGAAAGTGAAAACGCTTAGAGTGAACAACAGAACATATGGGATTAATTCCAATAGAGACAGGCCCGACCCCCAAACTCCACCTTTTCCGACACAATACCTATGTTGTAGTAAAAATAACATCTAAATTTTATGATGGTATGCTCACACAATTAATATTTAAGAGAAATACAGTCGCCAGGTTAATGTCCATTCAAATAATGGACTCAAATCCCCCCACCCCCTCTTCCCAGCTCACTAGCTCCTACCTCTCTGAGAAATGTTTGGGTGAAACCACTAGATTTTAACGTTTAGTAATAAATAATACCTCAGACTAAAGTTAGGATAATATAATTGACATTTCTGGATTCCTTGCAGGTCAGGGAATATTTTGAATGTAAACTTCATATATTTTGCACAAAAGATAAAATATTTGCTTTGTGTAAACCAAATTATTACATTAGATCTAAAATTTGTATGTCTAATGCAAAATCCATGATGTTTATACTGTATTCAAAATGATCATCATATTGTAAGAATTCCAGCAATGAAATTATATTCTGGCCGGGTAATTTGTATGAATTTTATGAGCTAAAACAAATATCTTCGGTAAATAAACAAAGAAATATTCTTCAAGGATACTATCTGTCAATCAAAATACCCCACCTCCGCCCTCCCTCCCTTCCTACCCCCCCACCCCCCACCTTCCCTCCCTACCAGAGAAGCGATTGGGAGAAAAAAGTATATTTACATTTTTAGTAATAAATAATAACCCAGACTAAAGTTAGGATAATATAATTGACATTTCTAGATTCCTTGCAGGTCAGGGAATATTTTGAAAGTAATCTTCATATATTTTGCACAAACTATAAAATATTTGCTTTGTGTAAATCAAATTATTACATTAGATCTAAAATTTGTATGTCTAATGCAAAATCCATGATGTTTATATTCAAAATGATCATCATATTGTAAGAATTCCAGCAATGTAAATTATATTCTGGCAGGGTAAGTTGTATGAATTTTATGAGCTAAATAAAAAAAAAAAAATTACACTTCACCGCGTATATGAGTAGATGCACCGCGGAAAGTGAAAGTCCGGTTCTGCAAGGTACCGTGTAAATGAGAAATCGCGGAAAGTGAAACCGTGTAAAGCGGGGTAATACTGTACAGTATTAGGCTGCACGATAACAAGAATGCCTGGAGGAGACTAGCTTGACACCCTGCTGCAGGTGTAGATCTAAGGGGGGTTACTGGGGTTGCAATCCTCCTTGAGCTGACAATTTTTGATATTACTGTACCTGCACAATATTGAGATGCGACACCCAAGAGCTACTCACCTATAGATTGATAGATAGATAACCACCATGTGGTACTGCCATAATCTTGCCCCAACCACCCACGACTACATTAGGTCCTGACCAGCCTTCCAAAGTCAGGTTAGGTCCTGACCCACCAGACACACCTGTGTCATGACATCAGCAAACAGCATAGATGGCAGTATCCATTGTGATCTCCAGGTGACCCTTATTACCCTGGAAGCATGGATCAAGATAGTCAGCAGCTGCAGCATCAACTACTGGACACATATGGCTGTAAAAATACTAAAGAGCTGCAATATTCTCTTAATTTTCAATTTTGGATGGATTAGTCATTACTAACCTTGTTACGTACTTACAGACGTTAGTTGTTGAAATGTACAGTACGTACTACAATGCTGTAATAACATTACAATTATAAAATAATTTATTCTCAAACAACCAAGACTCATGTTCCGCAGGTCAATAATTTTTTACTTAATATTTGTTAGCAATAACTATAGTTAGAAATACTTCCAGATATGAAGTGTAGTTAACTTTTATTGTAAACATACAAATAAAAGGCTTAAAATGTATGACTGTACTTGTACTGTACAGTACTACTACTGTAAAATATATATCTTTTAACTCATTATTTTACAGTCAAATTAGGTTTTTATTAAAATAATAATGATGGCAGACAAATATTCTATTTTGCATTTTAATGAATATAGTAAAAAATTGTCTCAAACTCCTTGACATTCAGCATCACAATACAGTACTGTACTGTACTTGACATAATTGCTACCTCAACCACCTGAGTCAACCCCCCTCTTCCAAAAATCTTGGATCCACCCCTGTACTATTGGATAATGGGAAACAGTGTACGATATATACTGTACAGTTAATTGATATATATAGTGTATACGTATATAAACACTGGATGTTAATTTTGTATCGGTTAGTATAATGCAACAAATATTTACTCGTTTCTGGTGTAATATTGTTATTTCAAATAAAACTTTAGGGCTGTACTAAAGCTTTTCCTGGAGATAAAAGCCAATATAAACACTTAATAAAGTAGGTACAGGCACTGTGCACTGTACAGTATATCATTACACTTGATGGTACTGAAAATAGGTTTTGGTAATGTAGTTGTATTTTATTACAGTTACAAGTCAGGTAAACTGTTAATAATGGATGAACATTTAATTATAATGAAATTGAAACAATGATGTAATGAAGACAACACTGTCAATGAAATTTCTTGAACTTATGATTTTAGTCCATGGAAACATGGCAACAGTAGACAAAACTCTTACACCTTAATATTCCCTAGATCATAAAAAATATTTATATATACAGTAATCTAACTCTTAAAATAATAATCTTCAAAAACATTGAAATATACTATAAATCATTACCAAATTAATCTATAGTATAAAACCCTGTGAATTTGTAACAGCTTACCGACTCCCTTTGTACAATCATCAAAGTTAATAAGAAATTATGTATACTTATTTTAAAATAAATGTTACCAAATTAAATAATTTATATATTATCACAAATAAGTTGTTAAAAAATTTATGGAGTAATTTTAAGAGCTAAAATACAGGGAATCTAATACTAATGAACAAGAAAAATGTGGGAACCCTAATTGCGACATGGGATCTCTCCTAAAAAGAAAATTTTTAATGGATTTGTGAGGGTGCTTTCATATTGAGGTCAGAATCGGACAGACAGTATTCTGACGCAAATTGTCCGGACACAGACGATATGCGACACCGCAGTGGGTACAGTATTATGATTTTCTCAGCTTAGCTAATACTGTACTTGTTACACGACTCGCTGTCTTTCTGGGAAGATAAACTGTATTCCCACTGGGATAAAACTTGAAAGATTCAAATTACATGTGATTCGAATATAGTGTGAGATATGTGTTAACTTGACTCACTCAGTTGGACAATTTGCATCAGAATATTGTTTGTCCAATTCTGGCCTCAGTGTGAAAGCACCCCAAGTTGAAAGTAATGTACATGACCTATGTTCACATATCACATGAGCTGAAGTACCTGATGTATGTTTACAGACCATGTGAACTGGGTTACCTGATATATGTTTACAACTGTGTGAACTGAGATACATATTGTATGTACTGTACATGTATACAAACTGTACCTGAGGAATGTGTACAAACTGTGTGAACTGGGGTATCTGATATATGTATACAGACCTTGTGAACTGGGATCCCCAATGTTTGTTTACAAACCATATGAACTGGGATACACACTGTATGTTCTCATGTCATGTGGGATGAAATACCTGATGTACAGTATGTTGTCACATACCATGGGGCCTGATACACAATTGCAAACCACATGGATATTCTATTCCTCTCTTCTCTCCTTTCAAGGTACAAAGGGAAGATACAAATGATATCAGTGAAGCACGGTGAGGTACTCTATAATCTGTAAAGCTTGTCTTGTACCTTGTAGAGAAGAATATATTAATAGTTGTCAGATGTTTTATGCCCTAAAGATGACAAGCTGTGGGAGACATGAGGAAGTAAAGATATGTTCTGGGAAGACATTCAATTGAACTCTTATATGATATGAGAAGATAAAGATAAGAAAAAGGAAAAGGTTTGTGTATGTGGGGCATAAGATGATGATTTGAGTTTTAGACCATAAAAGTAACAGTAAAATGAGAATTGGGAGGATACTAAATTATTTTCAGGGAAGGGTTGGAGTTGAATCACTGATAAAGCATATGTGTATGGTTCTCTTCTTGGATATACTGTACTGTACTCTTAAAAGACATCCAAAATTCTGAAAATAAAAGAAATAGCATTCTCGCTAAAAATAGGGCATTAGCAAAATTTTTTGCTATTCTATACAAGCTGGCTGCCATTTATTTAGTGAAATTCAACCAAGTTGGCACACCAAACCCTCAAAATACACTGCCCTTTTAATGATGCATAAGTTTTTAATTTCTAAGATTAATGAGGCAAATGGTAATCACTAAATTTGCTGGAAATTTTTTTTACAAAGAACTGCACTTAAAAAAGAAAATCAGATTTAAGTCAGTTTTCTAGCTTTCTAGATATGTTTGCATTCACATTTTACTAACATATCCATGGAATTTAACATTCAAAGACACAGTATTAAGGTACCTGTATTTTTTATTTTCTGTATTTTTTTATTTTTTATTTACCTGTACTTTTATTTTATTTTTATTTTTTGGGGGGGTAGGTAAAAAAGACCTTAATGAAGGCATTGAATATTGAATGTTTTTTGGCTCATATTATAATGTTTATCAGGTAAATTCACTTGATAATGGTTCTCCCCATTGCAAAGGGAGTGAGACATAAAAATAGTTCCCCTCTTGCCATTATCTTGATTCAATTTCTTGATACAGTACACACAAGTCATGTAAAGACTTATTGTTTGATGTCCTGAGACTTAAATATGGACACTGTCTGACAGTTTTTGCCTTCTCCTGATCATAAAGGTTCCAGGCAGTATCTAAGCCAAAGTGTCCAAACATTATCTCCTAAAACAATTGTCAGATTGACCCCAAATTTGAGAATGAGTCTCATCAGGTGGTTTTTCAGAATGGATTAGCTAATGAATACTACTCAATAATTTATCCTCAATTTGGAAGCTGATTCATGATATTTTCAACTATTATTACTTGCATGAATTGCCTGACTGGCCACAAATTTAATGTTGGGACTCTTACCAGTTTTCTGCCCCTTTCTGTCTTCATTTCCTGTGAGATTTTTAACCCTTGTTACAGCGGGGATCATCATCAATTTCTGACAGATAGCTAGTTCACAAGCATTCTAAACCTGTTCTAAATGGATCAAAGACATTATGAGTGAAAAGTCTTTCGTGGTACAGAACGGAAAAGTTTCCTTCAATGCAGATGTTGTAAGTGAAGTGCTATGTTCTGTGCTATACAATGCTGCTAACCTGCACAAAATTTCTTTCATCTAAGATACATTATGGGTCTCTAAAAATGAAAAAAACGATTTCAATCCCTACAAGTAGTTATTCCTCCATTTAAAACATTATTAAGTTGTTAATTTATTTTTAAGAAACCATGCCTGTTATTGATAATCATAAAGTGCTGAGGGTTTGCTTCTTAAAATATTATTAGTTTTGTACTGTACTGTACAGTCTCTCCTCGACTTCCGATGGGGTTCCAGACCGACGACCAGGTCATAAGTCGAATTGGTCTTAAGTCGAAAAGGGGAAAATAATATACATAGAAAATCTAAAATGGGTGTCTCTTTTTCTTCTCAGCACCACGAGAACTCTCACTTTTACGCTTGCTAGCCATTTTAAATGGAATTACAAAATTTTTTTTTGTCAGTACACAGCGCGATCACTAACGTCAGGACTCGAAAATACGTAATTTGAAAAATATTTTATACGACTGCGGCAGTCGTATGTCCGGGTGGTCGTAAGTCAAGTAGGTCGTAAGTCGAGGAGTACCTGTACAGTATTCCCAAAACATTCATGATTTAACATTTTGGTAACATGTAATTCAGTACGCCTCACTTTATTCAAGTCTTTATGTATAAGTCACATCTACAGCAGAAAACACATACTGTAATGACTATGGGAGATTGTAGAAATGAGCACATGAAATGATGAAATAAAAAATGAAGCCTAGAAACAGAATGTGGTAATCATAAATTTTCTGTACAGTACAATTCTAAGCATAAAACTATCAATTCATTACGGTACTGGACAAAAAAATAACCTCTGGTATAGTCAGAAGACATATTGTTCATCACAACAAATACGTAGTTAAAAAAAATTAAAGCAATGGACATTCCAGTTCTGGGTGTGGTTGTCTCTGTAACAGATTTCAGGCAAGGTTGGACTATATCTGTTCCACCTTCAGTAAGCAATTTAGCATTTTATTCAACACATTTTAAAATAACACGTACAGGTAGTTCTGCTATAACGCGATAGTAGTGTTCTTGTAAAACATCGTGTTATAGAAATTCGTGTAATAGAAATAACAGGGCTTATGGAGAAAATAGGGTTAGGTGCAGATTACTCCAAATCGAAAAAAAATTTCGTAGTTAGCCTAACACAAAGGATAGCACAGTCTAAATAAATGTTACATTCATATCTATTAATGAAATCATACAGTAAATGTTACACTTTACCTTGAAAAAATATGGATATAACTTGATGGGGGAGAAGGTTGATGTTGAGGCTGAGGAGTCATGAAACATCAAGCTTTTCTTCAAGTGTTACAGCCTTTCTTTTACGATCACCACCGGAAATGCGATCACCAGAGTGCTTCCCAGAGATATTCTTCTTTTCCATAGTCACAAAATTGGAGGAACAGTAATCAGAATTCACTGAGGACACTTAAAAGCTTCACACGTGTTTCAAACAGTGTATGGAGTAAACAGAGCGCGTGGGTCTAAAACGCTATGTATTTTGTTTTTCTCTTATTTAAAATTTTACATTTTACATATACTGTACAGGTATACTGTATACATAAATATTACATAAATTATTTCTGCAATTCTTCACAAACAAAACACATAAATCAATTGAACATGTGATGTCGAGCGTGAACTGTAAACACTGCATAACCCCGCGCCAAGCCACAGCACTGTACTGTACAGTACACTTTAAGCGCTACGTATTTAGTTTTTCTTTTATTTAAATTTTTACAATTTACATATATATACCTGTATAAGTAAATTGTAATTTACATATTATTCATATTATGCTAGAGCGCCCACAAAACATAAGAAACGTTTGAGTCCCCCAGTAGAGATGTCCGTTCTCTATCCACTCCAGGATGTCTTAGTCCTCCGTTTTCTTTTTGTGTACTCGCTCAGGGACTCAAGTATTTCTGTATATGACACAGGATGATAAGGGAATTTGAATTTATTTTATTTATTTATATATAATATAATGTAATATATTAAATATACTGCAAGTATTTTCTTTAATTTATATACGTGTTTCGCGAGAAAGGGAGGCTACATTTATGGTGATCGTTAAGGACCAAACTCCGAATCCATGACGTGACTTCTGTTCATTATTTATATCCTAAATTTACCACTGTAGGTAGTTTCAAGAATAAATGCAGTCATTTACTGAATATTCTTTGCAAAAAAATAAATTTTAAATGAATTATTTATAAGAGATAAGTATTATGATCAGTAAATATACAGATATGCATTACTGACCACCTCCAAACACAAGGACGGCTAAAAATAGCCACAGGCGGTCACAGTCAAGGTCACTTTCCCTTTCTTGTCACTGGGAAATGGGGGTGGGGGGGGATGATAATAGCAGCTGTGTTTATTACGGTATGTTAGACTGGTTTATAATACATTTTTATTATTTTAATATACCGGTAATCTTCATTTTAATCCAGCTTCCCAAACGTAAGTTTCAGTATAAAATAATTAGTGGTACTGTAGGACCTTGTGAGTGGTTTACTGTAGACATAAATATTACATAAATTATTTCTGCAATTCTTCACAAACAAAACACAAATCAATTGAATATGTGATGTCGAACGTGAACTGTAAACACTGTGTGTGATGTAAAGAGAGCGCGGGTCTAAAACGCTATGTAATTTGATTTTCTCTTATGTAAAATTTTACAATTTACTTATAATATATAGGTATACTGTATACATAAATATTACATACATTATTTCTGCAATTGTTCACAAACAAAACACATAACTCAATTGAACATGTGATGTCGAACGTGAACTGAAGCCACAACAACCGTTTGAGTGGAATCGCGTTAGAGCAAACGAGTTCGCGTTTTACAAATATCGTTCCTCAATTCATAAATCGCGTTCGAGCAAATTCGCGTTGTCAAAACACGCGTTATAGCAGAACTCACTGTACTGGTAACCTTTTTCTTTTATACATTTAAAAAATCCAGTAAATATTAGATGTACTGTGTCAAAAAACCAAGTGTTAATAGATTTCTCACAATCTGTGCCAAGCAAAATATATCAACTCAATATTATATCTCAGAGGAGTACTCTTTTGTACCCATCTTAATCCACCTATGATCAAAGCTATGCATACCAAGTTTTAGATTGGATTTTGTAAAGAAGAGCTAAAGAAGACCGGGATAGGCAGGATACACTCTAACCCTGAAGTGAGTATTTTATGTAAATGCAAACCAGGCCTTTGTAAAGGTAAGAAAATGAGATAGTAAGACACAGGTACAACGAAACACACACAAAAAAATAACAAGTTCTTGGATTATTTTCATTAAATTCCATGATGTGCTCACTCCAAGGACTGACATAAAGATGTTCTTGAATTCATTTACATATTGGGTAAAATGGGTTGTTGAAATACAGTAATTGAAGGGTAGCTGAAAACTACCTAACATGAAAGGATGTTTAAGTGCTTTAGTCTTTAAGGACTGAAATCTGAGTTTACAGTGAGTTTGATGTTTAAGTAGTTCATCAGGAGTGTGCTGTAGATATGATGAACAGTGATGTGTAACTACTGTATAGACTTGTGCCATCTGTACCAAGTTTGTACAGTTTTTTATTAGTATGAGAAGGTTATTGATATGTAAAAGGAGATGGGAAGCACAAGGTCAGAACTATGAGGCAGATCCAATTAACACAAAAGTTACAGGTGTGATCTGTCTGCAAATCCACAAATGATGCAGTCGGGCAGAAGAGCCTGCCACCAAATTCTACAAATGGTTCTTCAGATCTCTAGGACAAACAACTTGAAACAATTCATCAAAACCACCAAATTAAGTTTTTCTCTTATAAGGAGTGACTTTAATGAAACTAATATTTTACATCAGAAGTTCAAGGTGACACACATGTGTCTATAATACTGTACTGTAGTTGTATGTTGGTAACTTTCCAGAGTTGGAGAGAGATTAACTGGGGTTAAAACTGAGGAACACTTCAACACTGTTGGGAAAATGCTTTCTAAGCCAGGAATTTAATCTCGATCTAGGTGTTACAGAGAGACAATGATAAAATGTTGTAAACATGGAATTTAAACACAAGTATAAGGGAGAAACTGGTGGGAGAGGGTCAAGTTTTTAGTAAACATGGGACCATGAAGATATGTATATTCTTAGGATGTAATTATACCATTGATATCAAAGAGTAAGAAATGGCAGGGGTGGATCCAGGAATATAAATAGGGGGGGGGGGTACTGCAAGTCCCCCCCACATAATTTTTTTTAATCTGACCAATATCATGGGCATTTTGAGGCCATGTGCAATTGATATTAGGATATTCTGAGGTCAATAGTATTTACTTTTTACTACTGTATACAAAAATGCCTGAATACAATACTGCATTAAAGAAAAAGTATTGGCATTTTCTGATGAAAGGGGGGGGGGGACCGACCCCCAGGACCCCCCCTGGATCCACCCCTGGATGGAACAATAAGGCTGGAAAAGTTATGGTAAAATGAGGTGCCAGGCACATGTGTTTTCACCCCATGTGAGCAGAGAAACCTACTATAAGTGTTCAGAAGCCATGCAAGTTGGGATACCTAACTTGTATTCACAGACCATGTGTTTGGGAACCCAATTGTTTATTCACATACCGTGTGAACAGGAACTAACTTTTGTGTTTGAAGACCATGTGAGCAGAGGAACCTAACTTGTATGTTTATGCACTATGCGAGCTGAGGGATCTAACATGTGTTCATTGGCAATATGAGCAGAGGGACTTAAGTATTCACATACTGTACCATCTGAAGTGAGGTACCAAACTTGTTCTTCATGTTGTGTGCTCTCAGGGACTTAACTTGTATGTAGTAAGCACTCTTTGGGCTGAGGAATCTAACATGTGTACAATATTCACAGGGCATGTGAGCTGTTAGACCTGAATTCTTGAAGTCACAACCCATGTGAGCTGAGAAATTGAACTTAAATTAGTGTATCCATACACACTATGTGAGCAATGTTATAAACTATGGTATTAGAATTTTTTTCGTATCATGTAGGTATATAAATCTCAATTTCAATACTTATGAACAGGCACTTGCTGCTGAGAATTTAATGCAACCAGTTGTAAAATGTGACAAATTTTCGCCCTTACTTACAAATTCACTGGGCTTTACTGAACTGTGTCGGATATCATGTTTTTCTAAAAGATAAAATTCATACATTATGTTCAAATGCTAAATAAATATATGAAAAAATTACAAATTCTAAAAATGTTTTTATATTTTGTTTTAGTCCTTATTCTATCTACTGTTCACGGTTCAAGCTCCTTGAGAGCCTTCTCCAGCTGGTGACGTACATGGTCTACCCTCTCCTCTTGCTGCGCTATATCTTCATTCTGGATCTGGACTGACTAGAAGAACAAATTAAAAATCATCAACTGCTCAATTAGTCATGCTTATTTGTCTTATCCTGGAAGATCCCCATGCATTTCCAAAACTGTGGTGTAATATTATAGCATTTTACAAATTTGGATTTTAAAAACAAATACAATACCTAAATTTTACATTCAGCAGTAACTATCTTTGCCTGATACACAACATCTTAACTATTCAAAAGTGTGAAGTGTGAATATTCTCCAAACAAACCATTCATACTCTTATGATTGACTCACATACTGTCACAGCACTTTAACTTTGGCTGTCCATTATGTCACTTTCAAATACGTGTACAGTATATCCTTTTGTAGTTTTGCCAAATAAACACTTTGCACATACCCATTTCATCAGTACACTGTTTTTTTAACAACTTCCCTCATGCTAACATTACTTTCCACAAACCTAATATTTTTCTTATTTCATCCATCCTTCAACACCGACCTTCCTGCCTCAGCCAATAAACATGTACAGTACAGTATTGCATTACATCTGGTAAACTATATTCCAAACTTCCCTCCATATAATTAAACTCTAACCATTACACCAGCTAAAATTCTTCACTACAAAATTGAAAAAGAATAAATAAATAAATAAAATAATGATACATGAGGTCATCCCATCTGTTTAAAACATTCACTAAACCTTATTTTCACTAAACCATTTTACTGTACTTTGCACTCTCCAACCTCTGCACTGAAATCTTCCAATGACTACAAGGGACTCTACACACTGCACACAACCTCAGTTTAGCACCTACATCACTCTTAACCTCCCCTATAATGATACATATCTTGTTGGCCAATAACAATCACCACACACACACACCTGTCTTATCTTTCTCTATACAGGGTATATCACTAATCCTTCAGAGAAATTCTGATAAACACGGTTACATTCTTCCCTCAATTTTCTTCTTTTCTAATGCACCAACTCTGTAAGTCCTCCTCTTTCTTCATCATCTTTTAACATATTGTATGTAAACACCATTCAACTGTGCAATATAAATTATCTGTGTTATTATTAGTAGAGTACTTTTAATATTATCATCAACACTAATATTGTGTGATACATCAACACCATTCTTCAGTATCTCTTGTTATGATTATTTTCCATCAAAATTATTCAAAGGAGCATATCTAATGCAAAATAATTACTACCTTTATTGTCATTTGGACAGTACAGTTGACAGTATCATAGTTGGTATATCATCACTCAAGCATCACATACCTTATGTTATACCTGTATCTTTTATGTTTAGTATTAAGTACTTACAATAACAAGTGGTTGAGAGGGGTTAAGAAAGACTCCTGGATTTTTTTCCAGGTAATGTCTAGCTTCAGTCTGACCAGTGATGGGGCCTGGGAATAAGTGCAAGGCTGTGGCCACACTCTGAAAACAAAAATAAAACAAGTGTTACACATTTCTTGTAAAATTCATAGCATGTTACACACACACATTCACCATTATGTTTATACCCACATAAATAAACTTCTTAGATCACGACTAACTAAAAAAAAAAGGAAAATGGCCCTGGGGTTCTTTGAGACCAGCCCCTGGAAAAAAAAATCCCAAAAGACTAAAAATGATTCAATCCAATAATCGCTTCATTTTTCTACACTGAACATGAGTTCCAATGGCTTTCATCACCTAAAATTTCACATATTCAGTTTTCAAATGTGGCTCCTCAAGACATTAATATTTAAAAAAAAATCATATACTGTATGATTCAATCCATTAATTCCTTAAGACATACTATTTATACTGTACTGTATAGTATATATCAACAGCTTTTGTCCCTGAAATTTTCAGAACAATTCACTCAATAATTTTTAAATCAACTTTGAAATATTTGCTTGTCTGTTCCACAAAAAAAAAGTATAAATTCAACATTGAACAAACTGAGCTAAATAGAAGAGGGGGTAAAGGATCTGGAAGTGGTGGATAATAGTATATCTAGTAAAGTTGTTTCTTAAACCATCTGTTTCCTTTGCTACCACTTAACCAATCTTCTACAGTTAGCCATTTTGTGGTGGACTTACTCCTCATATGTCAACATTACCAATGTGTGGAAAATGTTAAAAGGGATAACAATGAGTGCAGCAAACATACCTGCAGTACTGTTTGGTCTTCCACATTTGGTCCGACAGCTTTGAGTGCTGCTGGTAAGTCAACATTCCTTAGGACTGATGTTTGAGCATCAAAAGCCTGTAATCCTTGTAACCGCTTTTCCCAGAACAGCTGAAAATAAAGGAGAAGCAAGCAGTAAGTACTACAGTATTTATTTTCTTACACACTCACAACAGGCAAAGCAAAGTCCCACTTAAATATTCCTCAAGTCTACTCTCTCTTGGTGAAAGAGAACTTTCAGGAAAATTGCATGCCATGCAGTTCAGTCTTAGTTGTTGCATGACCTGGATTTCCCCAGGAGGAATTGTTTTACCACACAGGGTAAAATTGCAAGCTTTTTCCTCACTCGACATATTCTTGGGACCCATGGTGACTGTTCTGAGAGAAAAAATTGTACTGGAGAGGTGTTTTTTTTTTCATCAGAATGTGGCAGATAAATTTTTTAAACTTAAGTGAATATGGAGGGCCATAACCAGCCTCTAATCTTAATGTAAAAATGTTTCTAATTACATAACCGAGATCAATATTTTGTACACACCGTGATCATATTTTATCAATCTTTGAAGTTTTCTAAAATTTGATACAGAATCACTCCATCCATTGCATTCTCTTAAATAAGTGGTTCTTAACCTGGGAAAAGCCCATTTGGGAAGCGTTTCAATTTTCCAGAGGGTGGGTGGGTGTGCATTTTTTCACATACAGCAATACCCCGATTTACGCGGTCAATTGAACCCGCGGAGTACCGCGTAAAAAGAGAAACGCGTAAATGGAATAACAGAACATATGGGATTAATTGAAATAGAGACTGGGCCGACTCCCAAACTCCACTTTTTCAGACACAATACCTACAATGTAGTAAAAATAACATCTTAATTTTATGATGGTATGCACACACAATTAATAATTAAGAGAAATATCAATAATATTAGGTTTTTTAACACTTACACTAGTAGAAAAGATGACTGGGCACATGGGGATGTGGGGTTGGTTCCGAGGCAGAGGGCAGATTATTGGCCCTCACCTGTATCACCTGTATCAATTGTATCACTATCCACCACAGAGGCTTGCAGGGCCTCTTTGTCAAACCCCTCAAAGTCCATACACCGTGGTCCCTTGGTTAATGAGCACAATCCATTCTAGAAGGTTGCTTGTTAACGGAAATCATTGTTTCAGTGGGTTTTTGGGTAATTGGTTCCAGCTCACCGAAAATTGCCTAAATTCAACAAAAAAGGTAGAAAAGTACACTTACTTTGAGGTGTGTATGTAGAGGCTCCTGGATGATGATGATGGGAATTAGAATGGGGGTGGAGGCGAAGGGAGAAGAGAAGGCATTGGGGTGGAAGAGAAGTCACCCCATGGTGCCATTTCACCCAGAAAATTGAGTTCTCTTGGTGTAATTCAAGATTATTTTCATTAATTCAACACTGCACTGCATTATATATTGTCAATATGTAAAATAAATTTCAAAATGACCAATACTTTGCTTGTAAACACAGAAAAAAAGCGTTTAGTTGAAGAGAGTCTCAAGCAAGATGTTACCTCCACTGAAAAGACACAAAGACTGACGCCTGTATGCTGTGTTGGCAGGCTGGATGGCGTGCCACAAACTAGTGACCCTACCTTCAATTATGTTCAATAATTGTTAAAATGACTAAAAAATTTAATATTAAACTTTTAAAATTATTGAATAGCATAAACTTCTTGATACTTACTAAAAGGGTAAGGAATTTAAGCCCTAGAACCGATTACTGTATTGGCGGACTAATACTACAGCTGGTGGACCGCCAAATGCAAGCTAAATCATGTGGAGGTCGGCTCGTAAGAAACTCGTTAATCGAGGGATTGCTTGTTAACCGAAGTTAAGAATCTTATGGAAGGTAACTCGTTAACCGAGGTACCACTGTAAGTCCATATCCTCACTATCACTATCACTGACTTGAGCCGGCTGTGGTGGGTGGCGGGTGAAGAACTCGGTAATGTTTTGATGACTGGGCGACCTTGTGCGCACCCTGCCCGCGCCGCTTCCCACGTATATGAGTAGATGCACCGCGTAAATTGGGCATTCCGGTTCTGGCGGGGTACCACGTAAATGTGGAAACGAGAACCACGTAAACCAGGGTATTACTGTACAGTACTGTACAGTACACATTATTTTTGTTGTTTGTTTGTTTATCTATCCAATCTAGAAAGGCATTGAAAATAGTGAAATTGGAACTAATGAAAAGATTTATTCATTGGAGATCGAGGGGGAGGGGGGATGTTCAAGGTTAATTGAAAGAGGAGTGCAGCTCCACCAAGGTTAAGATCCACTGAAAATCAAGATTACTATTATAAAGTACAGTGGTCCCTCGATTAACGAACGGTTCAATTAACGAAATTTTGGTTAACAGTTTAGCTCCCATAAGGATTTTCAGTTCCATTAACGAACAAAATTTCGATTAACGACAGCCTTACGAGACACACACGCTTTGTTGTGCGCATCAGCTGATCGGCTAGTCCGCCAATACAGTAATTGGTTCTATATTTACATTCGTTTCCATTGGAGTAAATATCAAGAAAGTTGTACTCTTGCATATTTTTGCATTTTTTATATTAAAATTGTTGGTCATTCTGAAATTTAGTTAACATATTGATAATATACAGTGCAGAAATTATCATGAAACATGAAGAAGGCATTAGAACCAATGCACTCTGCAAAGAATATGGCATGTCATCATCGACTGCCTCTACAATCAATAAGTTAAAATATAGTATACTATTGTTTTTTATTTATTACTGTACAGTACAGTACTGTATTTAGTTTATATTTAATATTTTGTTAATTCTATTACCGGTATACAGAACAGTACTTTGCATGTATACTTTTCTGTGAGTTGAAACCAATTACCCAATATCCCATTCAAATAATAGATTCAGGTAACGAAATTTTCGGTTAACAACCGACTCTGTGGAACCAATTGTGTTCGTTGATTGAGGGACCACTGTATTGCACATTTTGTATGTAGGATTGTGTGTGCTTGAAACTGAGTAAAAAAAATATAAAGAAAGTTAAGTTTATCTACTCAAAATTACAAGTTAATAATAACCAAGCTTGGCCTGGTAGCACGAGGATTAGGGGAATGTGACTCCAGTGACGAGTCTAACTTGGCAACAATGCCACCAGTGATGTTAAGTGTAACACTTATATCAGCACACCACCACCCTCAACTGTGAATTCAAACAAACTGAATAGGAGGAGCAATTATCTTAAAGGAGGGCAGTCAGAGCTCACCACAAAGGGTGGGGAATGGTGGAATGAAAGATGCAGGCTGGGGGAGATGTGGGAAGGAGGGGGATTTGCTATGATCATTGAGTGAAAATACATATCTGTCCATCTCTCCAAGATGGCTGGCCCAGCTGACTCCTGGGGGCGAGCATTTTGATTTTTTGCTGGAACCCAAATTTGTATAAGTAGGGGAAGCTTTCTTTCAATGAAAAATAGGTGTCAATTCAAGAAATTCATATACAGTAACCGAATTTTCGTATCTCAAACGTTCATTAAGCGAGGGATATCTGTACTTTCGATGATTGGATAATGAATTTTACAAGTTAAGTGAGAAAAGAAATACAGAAATCAATGGGAGCTACAGTACTGTACTACCAGCGGAATGTCTAATAAATGAGAAGAGTGGCAATAATAATAATAATAATAATAATAAACTATATTGATCAGCATCACTGAGAAAAATTAAACTATTACCTGCTTTGGTTTATCTTGTGTCCCGTGCTTCATATCTGCTTTAACTTTGCTTAATGGCTGTGTCTTGATAACTGACACAGGCTGCTTGAAAATGGAAGCCGTTTGGCGGATAGGAGGTACAAGTGATGCATCATTTCGCATTCCCCGGCTATAAAGTTTTATTTAGTATAAGTTATAACATTTACAAAAGAATGTAACTACAGAATATTCCAACAGTCAAAATCTTCATCTCTAGCCAATATGTGGTTATATGTTTATAACTTTCATACACTCAAAAACAGCAAATGTTAACATATGAAACTGAGAAATCAAGTGATATATAGATACAGTAAAGCTACCGGTACCTCACCTGTAATCAAACAGTGTTCCTCTTGGCTTCTTGTTTTTTCTAGCTAGCATTGGATTTATTTTGCCAGTGCGAAAGTCAAAGGAAGACAGATCCACAGAATCTCCAAGGTATCGTGTCAACTGGGGCTTACTTCGAAATTTTTTTCCACTTGGGCTAGAATAAAATGCATAATTTATCAATTCATTTTGAACACTCAATATTTTTCTAACCTTAATCCAGTGTTCACATTGTTTTATTGGTGTTTATATGAATCAAATGTTGTGTTCATATGCTATCCACTTAATCTATATACAATCTAGAGCAGTGCTGGATGTAAATGAAATGAAAATGTTAGTAAGAACACAAATAGTAAGTGATATCCCTGTTAGCTGGAATAACTGGTGCAGAGTTGTTCTGGGAATGGGAGATTTCCGGGTATTCATATTGAAACAGTTCATTTAGCTAGAAAAATACAGATACAGTGGATAATAATAACAATATTGACATGGCTGAGCCAATTGAGAGCCCGCGCTCTCTTAGCAGCAGATGAATTTTCTCTTTCCAGGAAAAATTGTACATTTCTAAAATCTTCAGGGTACTTATACAGTACAGTACTGTACATACTTGGGAAATATTTCTGAGTTGAAACTATGATTATTGCACAGACAGACACAGAGCAGTCTTTGTTTACACAAGCACCAATGTACGCACACAATATATTGTCAGTAAACAAAATATGCATAACACTGTATACAGGGCTTTGTAGGAGAGGGAAAATGTGGGGTAAAATACTAAAAACACCAAACAAACCTTTGTAAAACCTTACCGGTACCTAACTTTTCCAAACTTGTAAAATGGGTATGAATCACTTTTGAGTTTATGGATCCCTCCTCACCTGAGCACCAACACACACTAAAAACCGAAAACACCACCATCTACTAAACACCGAAAACATGAATAAGGTAAACTTATAGTTTTAGGATCTTTAAAGGTTGGGACATGTTAGGTCGAGTTTTCAAAAGTTTGTTTGGTGTTTTATTAGGATTTTCGTCTACATTTTCCCTCTACTTCAAAGCCCTGCTCACTTTGAGCAAATAATATTGTTGATAATTTTACCTTTTAAAAAACTCGAAAAACATATACGTATTCCCGACGGAAACGCTATAGAATAAATTATTTTTAGTTCCTTTCTCTTTCTTCCTATATAAGACTCAATATATTAGTAGGTGTTGGCAACCTCTAAATAATTACCAGTAAATTTTCACTTGTTACCATTATACAAAATCAAAGTTGAATCAAGAGATTTGGTATAAATCAAGGTTAAAAGTGTTCAAAACACATCAAAAACCACCAGGAAAACAGTTTTGAATCAAACCTAACCTACCCAGGGAAGCTCCACCCAACCAAACCTAACCTAACCGAGGGAGCTCCACCCAACCAAACCTAACCTAACCGAGGGAGCTCCACAGTCGTCTCATGTTCTGGGTGTGTACCACCACGTACGAGCATACATAATAATATGTTAATTATCTCGCTTAAATACAATTGGCGCCAGAAATGCCAATGAAGAAAAGTGTCTTAGAATTAACAAAACTACTGATGGTAATTATAAAATATCCGAGATTTTTTTAGTGACTGATCAAAATATCAACCACACACTCCAGAATAAAACAGACATAAGCCAATTGTTCAAATACGTATTTTACGTTTACTATTTATAAAATTACTTATACTATGAGCAAGTATCTACGTATGTTTCGAGGAAACATTCCTGAAACTATTCAAGCAATGATTAGGGACATAACTACAGTGTCAAGGAAACAACTGTAAACACATTTACAAAGAACTGTATTTTAATTACCTGTAATAGTAAACATCAACTTTTCCTGAAGTAAGGCCAGTTTTTCTAAGAACCTCTTCTCTTTTCCAACCTTTAGGTAATGCTGAACAGTCATAACGTCGTTTCTCTATCTGGACAGACATCATCAATGAGTTACCACCGACGGACCGACACCACTGGTTTGTTTACGACCCACGCCACACTCTAGGGACCACTAATCTAACATATGTTTTAAATAAGCTTTAGATATTCATATATTTAAATTAAATAGCACTATTTTGGTATAAATAATAACTACCATACACCTGAGAATATAGTAACTAATTAAAAATAGGGATGAACAATATTATATATATTATCCCTTATATTTTCAAACGTCACTGGCCATGGCTTAGAACTCGTCTCGCTCACTGTGCTAATCAACATTGTTTAAAATTTTAGTTGATTTATTAATTGAAATTAGGGTCATTATACATTATTTAATTCTTAAAGTGAAAAATAAGACTAATTTTATCACCTATCTGACCAGAAAATAATTATTCCAGAATCTTCCAGAATGCTTCTTATCAAAATCGAACAAAATGATGATTCATATATCAAACCACTAACTTTCTAGTATACTAACTAATAACCGTAGTAGTATAAATAATAATAATATATTATTTTTATACAACAAAATCATATAAAATAAGATCTAAAGATAAGTTACAAAACATTTTAAGAACATTGTTGATGCCCGCGTGCTGATGGTCCGGGCCTACTAGTCATCGGCTGCTGCAACTGTCTACTAAACACCTTCAAAATGATGGGAGGAGGCCAACCTATTATTGTTCTTAGTAAGTATTATATATATGAGTATAGAATATCATCAGTAACATTACAAAAAAGTGTGTTATTAAATTATATTCCTGGATATCTCCTGTATAAACTGTGATCACACCCCACCATCACCACCAACTGTTATAAATACTGAAAATATAACTGACATATTCAAAACTTATTACTGTTTTAGTTCACTGTTATGATAAACTAATATAAATTTTTAGGCTTAAGTAAGTATTTGGTATGATTGATTATATTTATGTGTTTTTACAGACCAGAACACCAAGAGGGAGAGTGGACGTAAGGTACAGCTCCAGAACATCAATGCCGGGAAGGTAATATATTGATAATTTATATACTATAGTTCATGGAGAGAGTCACTATTATATTCCTTTCTCTATTTTAACAGGTTCTTTACTTTTAACATTGTGTCAATATACAGAGAGTTGAGATTTTAAAGCCGATGAGAGAATAATGTGAACCAGGTATGAATTTTTAGGAATTATAAGTTTCAAAGGTTATGTTGGGTTTTTAAAGGTTTGTTTAATATGTTGGTCTTTTAATATTAGTGTACTGTTCTACCTAACCTAACCCCCCAAGGTTAGGTTAGGTTTGATTGGTTTGTTTTTTCTATGGTTATTCACACATTTCTAATACCCAAATAATTAAGGATCCACTACTATAAATTGACCGATGTGTTTTTGGTGTTACATTTTAACCTCATTTTGGCTAATATGCGACTCGTGCCTGTCAGTGGTTCGGTAATTATGGGGGGTTGTTTATAGACATAATTTTGTACCTGATTACTTTCATTTATATTCATTTTCTTGCGTAAAACTTAGTTTTCCAGATATAGGCGAGTTAAGAAATAGGTTAGGTTGGGTTCGGTTAGCTTTGGTTAGGATAGCATTTGATGTCTGCCATTTTTATATTTTTCCCCCAACATAATACAATATTCTCTAATAAAATCTGTGAAAATTTTGTATTTTTAAACCCATTTTCAATGAAAACCAGCGGACAGTCATGATACGAATAATTACTTTTTGACCTCGTCTTCAAAGCCCTGCCCATTTTGGAATTTTTGTTGTTGTGGGTATTAAAGGAGTAACTATCTATAAATATGCATATTCCACGGAAATAGAGGTAATATTTGTTTATGATAAGAAAAATTATGCAAGTAAAACCTATTTAATAATCAATTCCTTTTGAATTGTCTGGAGTTTACAAACAGTATCTTGTAATGGGCTGCTCTTTCTTGTTATTCTATCCTTCAGATTTATTCTATTTCTTCTTCAATATTCTTTAAGTCAATATTCTTTTTTTTTTAATTCTCTTTATATTTCTTATATTCTTCTCATTATTCTTCTCTTTTTTATATCCTGTTCTAGTTATATTCTAAACCATGGATTGGTCTGGGAAACCATGTCATTATTATTATAACACTTATTACTTACCACGGTAGCCTGCCACCACTCAGACTTTTATTAGAATTATAACATATCTTCGTGAACTGTTAGGTAGCGTGCTAGTGAGCTTCTAGGCACGTGAGTTACAATAGTTATTTTCTGAGAACCAACGGGTAGAAGGAATAAGTGGTGATACTCGTAGTTTACTAATTCAATATTTATTAACATGAGTGAACAAGATGTTAATTAAGTACACTCAGACCAGACTGGACCACTTAGGTCTTACTTTACCATTCATAATATAGATCTTCAATTACTGACTACATCATTAAACAACTGTTGTATTATTTCTTTGACAAATAAGATGGTTATTTTACACGCTCAGATGGGACTGGACCCGTAGGTCTTACTTTAAAAGTAACAAATTAAATCTTCAATTCTTGGTTACAACATTAAACTAGCATTATATTATTTCATTGTCAATACAGATGGTTATATGACACACTTGGCAATATTCCGAATTAGAATATATCTAAAACATCAGGTTATTTCGGAATGAACAACATGGCGCTTTTCCTACAGTTGATGTACTCGACTCACATACCATATTTACTGGTACTATCAATTTTTATGGGTTCACTACTCAACCTGGGAAAAATATATTCCTGCTAATTATCTCCAATCATATATGTACAACAATAATACTTTGGCCCATAAAACTGTAAGGAGTGCTCCAGGGTGTAACACTGGTGTCACCACAACAAATGAAGAGCGCTGTTAGGGTCGGTTGGAGTCCGACATACGGTGAGGGAGTTCGGGCCTAGTTCCCAGGGTGCGGACTCGCACAGTTTAATCCTGCCTAATTTGCGACATCTTCCAATACAGCCAGCTGGTATGCAGCTACTGGTCCCCCAGTGACTGTCGGGTATTCAGCTAACACACACACATACACCCTGTGCCTGAGATAATGATGGAGAAGCATCAGAGATGTGAATAATAACTCAATCACAAACAATCTTTCGTGTAGCAACGACAGACGATATTTTCGTTACAGTAATTCTTTCACTGGGAATTCGACAATTTCACTGTTACAACATGAACACTGATATTCACAAGATTCACTGAGTTAAACTGACTTCATATGGAGGGCGGAGAATCATACACATACCTGAGATAATGATGGAGAAGCGTCAGAGATATGACGCTCCCCTTGCGCACGAGTTTATATATGGCTAACTGGCAACTCAGGCCTGTGCGGAACACATGTCAGAAAGGCTAATCACGCAATGACAGAAATTGCATTCAACTCGGTTGCTGTACATTTAACTATGACACTCAATGCCACAGGTCAGGTGAATTTCCTACGTCTATTCATATAATCTAATCAGAGATTGAGCTTGCCAGGAAGAAGTGAAATACACACGCTGTTAACACTAGTTCTCCCAACATAAGCGTAATTTCTAGACAAGGACCCTCTATGGGTATACAGTAGGTTGAGATCTTGGAGATAAGTTTGACATGTTCTTTCAGGAGATTAATGGCTTGCTTGAATAGACAACTGACACTAACTAAACTACAAACATCAGACTCTCTGATGTTTGGGCATCAAAATGATCTAATTTTAGTAGTACTTAGAAATTCATGGCTATCCCCAGGGACAATATCATGGGATGCCATTCGTACTGGCCGACTCGACACTCACTTACTTATCAAGTGTTACGAACAATAAAGACAGTTAAAGCTTTCAACATCACTCACAAAGGATCTTGTATGCTTTAACTGTAATCAGACATATCTAAGTTGACTCAAAACAATGGTGTTCTCTCTCACATTCAGATTTACTTTATTGAGAGGTTGGTTTCAGGAAGTTAGAGAAAATGGGAAAACGGAGGACTCGGGCGTCTTGAAGCGATGAGGAAACGGATGCCTCAAATGGGGTACTCAAAAGAAGGCATAGCTACATGTCTTGTGGGCTATTGAGCGTAATATGAATCGTCTGACTTTACGATAACTGACGTGTACGACCGTGGTCTTTACAATCTGATTAATATTTAGACGTTGCTAAGTACAGAACTCTATTGATTCTTATATAGAGATAGAGGGGGAATATTAAGAATACAGTACAGTACTCTATAGCGATTTTGTTGGAAATTTATAGTTTTGAGTACATTGTACAAATTCGTGGAGAAATCCATTGTTTACTTGTTACCCAGCCAATCAGTGGAGGTCTTAGATGTCACGTGATACTTGTCAGTCAGTCAGCAGGAGACCTGTGAGCATGTGCAAGCTCTGGAATTTGAAACCATTGCATAATGGTGTGTGTCTGTGAAGGTTGCTCCTTGGTGTTTAACTCGGCAAGTTTTTGAGAACAAAGCCATAGTTGTTGACTTCTTAAGGGCTCAGAGTGTTCTTCCTTCTTCAGTAAAGTGTCCAAGGTGTGATACAGACTCACTATTGTGAAGATCAGGATACTTGGTACAATATTGCAGTAAGAGACACGCTGCCAAAGGCAAGTTTTTTTTTTTACACACTGGTGGGTCTAAGGTTTCACTAGTTCCTTCTGGTTAAGAGGTTTCGTTTCATAGGGTTTTTATTGCGTGTTTTTTACCCCATAATTTCTTTCCTTGCCCACTTTGTGCAACCGATATTGTTGGTAATTGGGTGGGGGTACTATCTCCATAAGTACTTATTTCCTATTGAAATTGAAGGTCAAGTTTGTATGAAACAATGAAATACAATATACAAACCTTTTTTCCATAATGATTTCCATGTTTGGCAATTTCTAAATATTTTCCCCGATTTTACCCAAAACCTTAAATTATTTATGTGATGGATGCGCAAAAACTGAATCACTGAACCTGATTTGCAGACAGTGAGTTTTCGTTTGGTGGACGTGATATACACAGGACCAAGCTACAACACTTATTTTGAGTCCACTAAACACATTTTGTTTGGATTTTATATTCAAATATCTCTCACATGATCTGCTTTGACCAATCAGAGAACAGTTCAAATCTCATATATATATATATATATATATATATATATATATATATATATATATATATATATATATATATATATATATATATATATATATATATACACAGTGGGGTATGCTATAACAAATCTAATTGGTTCTCGAACCTTGTTCGTTATAGGATTAATCCGTTCCAGGCCCCCAAATACAACCACTTAACACTGAAAAATATTATATAGAATTGTAAAAATTGTAAAAAAGTGCATAAATATGCATCCAAACCCCTGAAATAAAGAATATCATTAATATTTGTAATAAAAAAAACAATAAATTAGAAAAAAAAATTAAATAATGTTCGTTGTAGGAGTTTCGTTCGTTATAGCATTCTCAATTTTATAGGTAAAACCGTTCGTTATAGGAATATTCGTAGTAGGATCCGTTCGTTATAGCATACCCCACTGTATGTGTGTGTGTATATATTATATATATATATATATATATATATATATATATATATATATATATATATATATATATATATATATATATATATATATATATATATATATATATATATATATATATATATACAGTGACCCCTCGTTTAACGAACACCTCGGTTAACGTAATTTCGATTAACGAACTGCCTTCCATAAGGATCTTCAATTCGGTTAACGAAAAAAATTCGGTTTAAGTTCTTACAAACCGACCTCAACATGTTTTCGCTTGCACTGACCGGGCAACCAGCTTTAGTATCAGTCCGCCAATACATTAATCGGTTCTAGGGCTTAAATTCCTTACTATTTTAGTAAATATCAAGAAGTTTATACTATTCAATAATTTTAAAAGTTTAATATTCAATTTTTTAGTCATTTTAACAATTATTGAACATAATTGAAGGTAAAGTGACTAGTTTAATGCGCGGCATCCAGCCTCTTAACACAGCAAACAGGCGTTAGTCTCTCTCTGTTTTCACTGGAGGTAACATCTTGCTTGAGACTCTTCAACTAAACGCTTTTTTTCTGTGTTTCCAAGCAAATTATTGGCCATTTTGAAATATATTTTACATACAGTGAGTTCTGCTATAACGCGTGTTTTGATAACGCGAATTTGCTCTAACGCGATTTATGAATTCGGAACAATATTTGTATAACGCGAACGCTTGTTTGCTATAACGCGATTTTTGCTTACTATTTCTCCAATTTTGTGGTATTAACTGTGAATATGGTAAAGAAGAATATCTCCAAAAGGCGTTCTGATGATAGAATTCCCGGTGATTATCGTAAAAGAAAGGATATAACACTTGAAGAGAAGCTTGATGTTATCAACCTCAAAATCACCCTTCTCCCCATCAAGTTACATTCATATTTTTTCAAGGTAAAGTGTTAAATTTACTGTATGATTTCATTATTAGATATGAATGTAACATTTATTTAGACTGTGCTATCCTTTGTGTTAGGCTAACTACTAAATTTTTTCGATTTCGAGTAATCTGCACCTAACCCTATTTTCTCCATAAGCCCTGTTATTTCTATTACGCGATTTTCTATAACACGATATTTTACAAGAACACAATTATCGCGTTATAGCAGAACTACCTGTATTGACAATATATAATGCAGTGCAGTGTTGATTTAAAGAAAATAATCTTGAATTACACCAAGAGAGCTAAAATTTTATGGGTGAAATGGCGCCATGGGGTGACTTCTCTTCCACCCCAATGCCTTCTCTTCTTCCTTCTCCTCCACCCCCATTCTAAATCCCATCATCATCATCATCATCATCCAGGAACCTTCTACATACACACCTCAAAGTAAGTGAACTTTTCTACCATTTTTGTTGAATTTAGGAAATTTTCGGTGAGCTGGAACCAATTACCCATTGAAACAATGGTTTGGGTTAACGAACTTTTCGGTTAACGAGCGACCTTCTGGAACGGATTGAGTTCGTTAACGGAGGGGTCACTGTATATACGTATATATATATATATATACGTATATATATATATATATACGTGTATATATATATATATATATATATATATATATATATATATATATATATATTTGTGTGTGTATATATATATATATATATATATATATATATATATATATATATATATATATATATTATATATATATATAATTATATATATATATATATATATATATATATATATATATATATATATATATATATATATATATATATATATATATATATATACACACACACATATATATATATATATATATATATATATATATATATATATATATATATATATATATATATATATATATATAGTATATATATATATATATATATATATATATATATATATATATATATATATATATATACTATATATATACATTGATTCAATCATTCAACACCAGTCTTTCAGCAGATCATGGCTCGTGTTCAATAGATTTGGGTAATTGGTTCCAGCTCACCGAAAATTTCCTAACTTCAACAAAAATGGTAGAAAAAATTACTTACTTTGAGGTGTGTATGTAGAAGGCTCCTGGATGATGATGATGATGTGCATTTGAAGTGGGAGGTGGAGGAGGAGAAGGGAGAAGAGAAGGAAGTGGAGGTGGAGGAGAAGCATTTTACTGCTTCTTGGAAGGTGAGTCACCTTCCATGAAAATGTCAGGAACCTCTGGACTGACAGATTCTCCACCATGAACATCCTCTCTCCTTCTTGAAGTGGAAGGCTGAGGGCTAGCATCTTATTCCCTCTGCCTTTTACTGAAGAAAGTGTCAATTGTGGTCTGTGGGGCATCTGTCCTCCTCACCATTAACTTATGTTTAAAGAAGGAGACCACTGAGTCCTCAACATGACACAAAGCTAGTTCAGTTTTTTCCACTTCTGGGTGCTTTGAAGCCAGTTCCCTGAACTTCTCCCAGTGGTAAATCACATCTTTCAACTGTGTAGCTGACATATGGTCATCACTTTCAATTTCCTCCTCACCACTGTCAGCCTCTACCCGTAACATCTCATCCAGTTCCTTCAAGTCATTAGGAGTAAGTTCCTCCTCATGAGACATCACAAGCTCTTCCACATCCTTCTCCTCCACTTCAAGACCCAATGACTGACCAATGGACACAATCTCCTGGTCCAACTCTGTGTCATCCTCAAATCCCTCAAAATCCTGGACTACTGATGGCCACAGTGCTTTCCATGAAGAATTGAGGGTTCTATTGGAGACTTCTTGCCATGATGACACAATCAATTTACAGCCTCCAGGACGTT